TTGAGCTATGTCTGTAAAGTGTTATGGCTTTTTAAGTCTCACTTTCCAAGCTGAAAATAAAACAACCAGCAGAGCTCACAAGGTGGATGCAGCAGCTCACAGTTCTCACTACTCTTAAAAGTTCTAGAACTACTTTTGGACACAAATGAAAATGATCTTTCCATAGTTGCCCAGGTGCTTTGATTTGCAGGCACACTTGGAGAATTGCATCACTTGAACTAGGCAGGCCCTGCTTTTAAACCTGCCAGTGACCCATTCAGCAGAGATTCACAACTCCTTCAGTTATCTCTTCTCAATACAAGTGCTGTGTGAAAGAAAGGCTGTGAGTTTGAGCAGCAACATGTATTGGATAATCCCTGCATGGTGCAAGTGTTCGTGGCTTGTTATCTGGGACACAAAGGTGTGATAACAGCAGGCATCTAAAAGCCACACCAGCTAACTTATCCCTGTGGATGAGAGTTCAGAAAAATAGCCAGGGATGCTTTGTTTGAACACCCAGTGTCCCCTGAAATAACTGTGGAGATTCTATTACTAAAATGATGTAGGATCTCCCTATCCATGCCAGTGATTATTTTAAGAATTCAGGGAAGCTGGTAACATTATTCTGGTTTTACTACACGTACATGATAACAGGTTTCATCTGAAGTCTTTTTTGGCGACTCCACCACCTGAGCAGAGGCTCCTCTTCCAGGCATCTGTGCAGCTGCTTCCAGGACTGTTTGCTTTTGAGCTCCATCTGCTGGAATTGTATCCTGTTTCCCACATCTTCGGTGTTATTATGCTGCCAGGTTTCACAGGAATGGGCTTTAGTTTAAAAGAGAATAAGGAATAAAGTTCACAGTTCAGAGGAATTTCCAGCAAGTTGCTGGTACTTTTGTTTAAGGATTCAACTTGAAGATTGCTTGGAGAATGTAAGACTCAAACCAGAAAATAATTGTGAGGCTGAGGAAAATAAATATTAGTTCTTCCTCCACTTTTGTTTACAGAGTTAGTTTCCAGGTGTTTTATAGAGATTGGATTAATCAGGTCAGTCATGACCTATCAAGTTTTGTAAAAGATTTCATGAACAGGTTACTCACTCATTTTTCTGAATTAGATTTTTGTTTTGTTTTCCCCATGTCTGTTGTTACTCTATAACTAAAAAAATTAGCAGTGTTTTCAATATTTAATTAACTTTTTAAAATGCCATTCTTCCCCATTGTAACTGTGCTTCTAGTGTTTCAGAATATTCAAGGACAGAAGGGACCTTGATGAAAGTCTAATTTGATTTTTGTAGTTCCATTGTTTCTTAACAAAAATGTCCTGCAAGGAATAATGTGCAGAATTGGAAAAGAGGGCCCTGCTGTGCAAAACCACTGCAGAAGTGTTTCAGTAGTCAGAGGCTTTCATGGTGAATTATATGATGACTTTCTACAAGTTTTCTCTGTGAGAGGCACATTCTCTGTTCAGGGGACACCTTATACTGTGCGTGTCACCATTGATGTGCATGTGTAGAATCAGGATTGCCACCAGCCCTTGGGTGCAGGTCTGGCCTTGGCAGAGCATGTAATCCTAAGGAACAAGCACTTCTCTGGAAGAATTATCTTCCCAAAAAGCAAACCATCTGCACCTTGGAAGTTTCCTTTCCTTGCAAAGCTAATACCACCTTCCTTCCCTGTCCCTAATGCCAGATGTTCCAAAGGTATATTCTGTTTCATGATGGCTTTGTGTATATGATAATTTCCAATATTATTTCCTTGCTGTCCAGCTGCCTGTTAGCAATATTTGGTGTTCACTCATGATGTTTGCAACTTTTTTTGTTCTACTTAGCCAGCTTTGCCTGAACTGGTTTTAGTTCTTGATGTAACTCCATGCTGGTACACCAAAATCTTGGGAATAGGAGTAGGGAGGAAGAGGTGGAGAACAGATAAAGGACTAGGCTTGATATTAAAGATAAGTGGGGGTTTTTCAGTTCTGCCTTGTACTTTCCTGGCCATGGCACACAGCACAGCGTGGGGTTCTCCAGCAGCACCCGAGCTTGGCCCAGCCTAAGCTGCTTTTTCAGAAGGTAATTATTGTAATGGATTTCTCAGACTTCTGCGTGGGACAGAATTGCCAGTCATTTTTCACACAGGTTTGGAGGGATATTGTCTGCATTTCCTGACAGCTTCCTATGAAATAAAGACAGCTAAGGCATCTCTTGGTCCTGACTTCACTATTAAATGGGCATGTGCTGCCTTAGGTTGGTATTTAAAGTGCTCTGTTTTGAGGTTGGTATTTTTTAGACCTACAGATATGTAGGAGTACATACAAGTGGGAGTACATATAAGTACATAGGAGTAACTTCTGTGTTCTGAGATTGAAACTGGCTGCTGTGTAACTGTCCCACTGTAGAATAAGTTAGATTTTGCTGTTATTCCTATAATGACAAGTACTTTGGATTTAAAATTGAACAGTGAGTAGTGGTTGTCAAACCCCCCTTTGTAGCTCACTTCTGTTCATGCCATAGAAGTGCGAGGGTTTTGTTGGTTTCAATAGGGACCTAAATTCTAATTAATATTCTGTGTCCCAAACATGTTGTTCTGATTAGAGGCTCTTTGCCCAGGCATTTCTGTGCAGCCTGCCCTGTTTGAAACCCTGCCTTTTTCTGACTTCACTTCCTGAATCCGTTGACAACACTCACAGCCAAACAAAATACATGTTCACAATGCTGTTATTTGCAAAATATTCCCTTGTGAGTACAGCTGGGGCAACAAAAAGAGTTTCTCTCTGAATCTCAGAGAGAACTGACTATTCCTTATAGAAGTAAGGCCCACAGTGCATTAGGCAATTTAAATCTTGGCAGTTCGGTAAGTGTTAAAACTTTGCATTTCACCACATATAAAGGCAGGCAGGGCTTTCATTGCCCTTGCGGGTATTGATCACAGAGTGATCTGCCAATATCCTGAGAGTGCTGGATTCTAATCTGGGCTGAAGTGAAGCAGATAGCAACAGGCTCCCGGCCCACCACACTGTTTACAAAACACATGGAGGTGGAGGGAATATAAACTTACTTTGCCCTCTCCTAGGCCTGATCCTCAATTTTGGTGTGGGACCAGAGAAAAGGTTCATCTTAAATTGCTCCTGGTCTCCTGTGAAACTGCACAACTGGCACTAAACCCCACCTTGCTTGGGAGATTCTCTGACTAGTGACCAACTGCTTGTGTCCCAGGAGCCAACCTTTGCTCAGGGACTTTTTTGCCCTTGCTACAGAATGTCACCCTTGGGAGCAAACACACAACTGCAGTGTCTGTGTGTGTATGAGGGCAGGGTGGAGCAGACTGTCACTCAGCTGTGTTTAATTAACATAGTATTTTATATAATGTATTTATTTTTTACGTAATTAGGTGATTAAGCAAAATGCTTGCTAGTAACATCTATTCCATAACCCAGTGCTGCTGAGAGTTAAACATGCACCTTTGCAGGTAATTAATCTCCTTGCCCTGCTTATTTTGCTAGTTGGCACTTGCTAAATCCCAGTAAAACCACACCCAGCAGTGCTGTGTATTATCCCTCTGCTGTCTATTCCTACATATGGTCAAAATCAACTTACCTTCCGGGTTGCTGACATCAGCAAAATGTACTCTTGGCAAACTGCAGAATCCTCCTAGTAACCCTTTGTTTGGTTGGTGTTGTTACAGTTGTACTCCTCTGACAGCAGCAAACAGCAGCCCAGCAGTGCCTACCTTGACACTTGGATTGGGATGGGGAAGGTGATTACCATATTTTAAACATTAAAACAACCCCTTGTGATAAAATGTATATAGTTTTCAAGGAAAAAAAGTTAAAGATACTTCTATGCTTCCTGTAAGGAGCTGACCCACAGTAGTTGCAAGGTTCAGGGTATCATTTTGATAACAGTAAAGGTATGTATATATATAACATTATCTAGTCATCTTGTGAAGTGACCTTAAGCAGCACTGTCACTTCAGTTACAATTACACTTATTCCTCTTCTAAGGAAAAAAAACTTTTTTCCTTAGAATAATACCTGCTTGAGAACAATGAATTTCTAATATTTTCTGGCTGTCTTTTCGTATCATCTACTTCCTCCTAGCTGTTGGGCTTCAAACAGCAAGCAGGAAAACATCTGGTCTCCTTTAAATATGTTTATTAAATTAAATGAATTGGGTACCATGTTGAAAATCCTGGTATAAAACTGTTCCACACCCTCCCCCTCCCAAGCAATGTAGCAGGTTTCTAAGCTATATCTGTATACTGTCATTGTACAAAAAACCAAGATTACATTCTAAAAAATACCTGGGAAGTGCTAGAGAAGTTGCTGTTTTCAGTAAGTTGCTGGAAACAAGCAACAGGAGTTGCTGTTTTTCAACAAGTTGCTCTTTTTATTTCCCAGAAAGTTCAGTTTTCCCAGCTTTTCTATTGCCAAAAAGTTTAGAACCCAGAGTAACACCCAAAAGGGAAAGGATTTAGGGACAGGGGAAGGGTTATAAAATTATTCTACTGCTGACAGCATTGCTATAAATATTAACAAACAAGGATCACCTCCTACCTGGGGAAAAAACACAGGAATAAAGGTGAATATTTTTATTTTGAAGCCTACAGCATTTTTTTGAAGTACAGCTGCTTGCCTTATCTTCTTGAGGGCATTAATTTAATAAAAAGCATGTCAGATCAAGTAGCCAGTTGCTCCAGTTATGGAACAGTTTCATTCCCTGGCTTTCTACCCCTCTCCAACCCTGCCTGAAGTCAGTCAGCTGTCTGAACTGGGCCTGGGAATGTGGCAGCCAAGGCACTCAGGCTACAGTTGGGAAATAAAACTCCAGGACAACCCAAAAAGTTGTATTGTTTCAGTGACCAGGATCTGGCTTCTCCCCATCTCCTCTCACTTTTTCTCCAGGACATGTCTGAAGTTAGACAGCAAGTTCAGCACAATCCCTACCCTTCAGAGCCCAGCAGAAAGGGCATTTTCCCAACTCAGCCACTAGCAAAAAAAAAAAAAAAAAAAGTGTGAGGGGGAAATACATTTTAATTATTTTATTTTTTCTTAAATATAATAGAACCTTCTAGAATTTTTTCCAGAAACAGAAACATTAAAAAATTATACTTTATTACAAATGGTAAACTCAGAGTGCTAAAAAAAAGCCTCTTATTTACAAACAATACTGGGCAGTGCCCAAATAAACAACATAAAAATAACTTACAAAGTCATGAAGTAGTTTATTGACATTAATCAACTTTCATAAAATAAAATAAAAAAAGATATGTACATACACAATTTACTTGAAGGCAGGCAGAATAGTTTGTTTGTTTTTTTTTAATCAGCCTCCCACAAACCTCCCTCCCACTTTGTTTGTTTGTTTTGTTTTTTTCTTAAGGAATACTACATAAAGCAATCTACAGTTTCTATTGCAGTTTAACCTTTAATACTGAATGATCATCGAATGTTAGGTCCATGCAGGTCTTGGTCAATGTTAAACGAAGATCTGACATCTCATCCGAGCAGGAACAGCCCTTCCCGGCGCGGCGCCGGCCGCTCCACTCCCGGCTCCAGCCGAAGGCTTTGCCAGTCTTTCCACACATGCGCCTTCAGAGCACAGGCAGGACAGCCTTCCAGCCTTTGCCATCAGCTTTACGCCTCTGCCGCTTTGGATTTCGCCCGTTTTAGTTGTACCACAACATCACAGTTCCCGCTGAAGAGTCTCTTCAAAACGTCTGCAACTGCTGTGTGAGCATGAGCTGACACCCGCTGTTGACGTGGTTCATGACCTTCTGCTTAAGCTGTGCAACCTGTTCTCTGAGCATGTTGGCAGTGGATGCCAGCTCTGAGTTCTGGGCTTTCAAAGTTTTCACTTTTTCCTCCAACCGGGCAATCCTTTCCAACTTCCTTTTCCGGCATTTGGACGCCGCGATTCTGTTCCTCATGCGCTTTCTCTCGGCTTTGATTCTCTCCTGTGACTCCATGTCAATGGGGGACAGGGGAGGGGTTTCCCCGGGCATTTCAGGTACAGTCTGTGGCTCCTCTTTCAGCGCCTGGAGCCGGGGATGCTGCACGGGCATCTGCGGGTTTATGTGGTGCTGGGGCGCGTAGCCCATGCTGTTCGTGTTGTAGCTGGGCGCGGAGCTGAGCGCGTTGGGGTTGAAGTTGCTGAGGTTGGCGTACACGGGGGGCTCGCTGTGCAGGCTGGTGTTGAAGCTGGTGCTGCCGGCCATGGAGGACACAGGTGCCATCCCGCTGGTGACGGGCTGCGCGGCCGAGGTGACGCTGGGCAGCGTGTTCTGGTTGTGCAGCTCGGCCAGGGCCCGCACGAAGCCCTCGGCGAACCCCTCCTGCTCGTCCGTGACATTCTTGGGGCACAGGAACTGCGTCGGGGTCGGCGTGGTGGTGATCAGCCCGTTGCTGGACTGGATGATGAGCCGCTCCAGCTCGGGCGAGGCCAGTTTTAGGAGCCCCACGTCGGGCGAGGTGAGGATGTCGGCGTTCTTGTTCCTCAGGTGCGGCTTCAGGTTGCTGGAGGGGTCGGACAGGTTCAGCGTCATGTTCTGCTTCAGCACCTTGGCGTTATTGTATCCGTACCCGCCGCTCTCCGGCGGCGCGAAGCCGGCGCTCAGCGCATCCTCGTAGAAAGTAGGCTCCATCTTTGCACTCATAGAACACAGTCCGGGGAGGGGAAGCTGCCCGGCCGCCGCTCAGCTCCCCGCGGGCACCCCGACCCTCCCAGGGAAGGGGAACGCGGAGCCGGGGAAGGAGAAACGCGGAGCCTTACTGGGGTGGCTGCTGCTGCTGCTGCCGCCGCGCTGGGAGCCCGCCCGGCCTGGCGGGGCGCCTCGCCGCCCTCCTCCTTGTGCCGGCGCTGCCGGGACGCCGCTCCGCCGCCACAAGTACTTTCCGTGGCCGGCTCCGCGCAGTTGCCGTTCCCGCTCCCTGTCCCGGCGCTCGCTCACTCTCCCGTTCCCGCTCCCTGTCCCGGCGCTCACTGTCCCGTTCCCGCCCGCTCTGCGCTCGCTCCCGCCGTGCAGCCCTTCACTTATCAGCGGCCGCGGGCCCGCTAAAAATAGCGCATGATGTCACCCCGCGCGCTCCCCATTGGCTGCCGCCGCCCCGGCCCCGGGGGGGGCGTGGCCCGGCGCGGCGCGCGGGCCCCGCGCGGGTCGCCATGGCCACCCCCCCCGCTCAGAAGCTTCTTGAGCGCGCGCGGGGCACTGTGGGATGACGTAATGCCGGGGGGCGCGCGCGGGGCACTGTGGGCTGACGTCGTTGTTTTTGAACTCTCTGGTTACCGCGTCCCGCGCGCGCGGGGCTGGCCCGGCGGGGCCGCCTCAGTGGGGGGGTGGGGGGGGGGGACACGCCAATCCTCCATCCCCGCCAACCGCCCCAGTCCCGCTGTGTCTGCGCCCGCGTTTGCTGCTTTGTCTCTGCGGTTATTTGTGGGTTTGTTTGTTTGGCGGCCGGCGCTCCCCCCGCGTTTCCGGTGGTGCTCTGTGTGTGTGTGTGTGTTTGTCCCCCCTCCCCACTCCTGCCCCCCCCCGGCGGTGTTGGTTCGTCCCTTCAGGCGGCGCTCCCGGAGAGCCCCACGTGGTTTCCCCGTCCCGCCGCCCCCGCGGCTTCCAGGCAGCGCCGGGGGCGGCACCGGGGGCACCCCCCGCTCCCCGCCCTGACCCCCTCCCGCCACCTGCGGAGTCCCCCCGCGCCCGCCCGGCACGGCCCGAGCCGCGGGGTTCGGCGTTGGCGGACACCCCCGGCTCTGCCTTTACAGAGAGCCGCGACGTCAGTTCCCGGCCTCGGGAATAACCGGGATAACGCAGGGGGGAGTAGAACCCGACAGGAGAAAGCAGGGGTGCGGATGGGTTTCTCTGAACTCGTCCTCTGAGGGGAGGGGACAGCGACGGCCTAATTTTAGAGAGTGCCCCAGTATTGGTGTGGAAGTACAGGTTAGTCGGGAGGGGGAATAAGGGCTGGAGCTCAAGGATCGTTGTGGAGGAGTAGAAAAGTCTGTGCTGGCATGTTCCCCTCGGAGCAACAGATGGGAGATGTCTGGTTCGCTGGAGCCGCTCCGAGCGAGCGGCGTTACAGGGCACGGCTCTGATGAAAGGGATGCGTTTGTCTTACCTTGTCCCGCACACACCCTTCGCTCCGGGAGGTGTGGATTTGGGAATGCTGACGGGCAGCTACCTCTGGAGTAAAGTGCAGCAGGTATTTGAGGGCAGGCAGTGACAATGCGGGGTAGCACGGGGACGGACTGAAGGGCTGTGCTGGTGTGTTTGGTTATCGACAGTGCGACAAGTGCTCCTTACTCTTCCAGCACAAAGTTCTCACCTGCTGTTTGTCCAGCTTCTTGTATCAGTGAAGAAGTTGGTCTGTTAGCTTCAATCCCTTTTCACGATATGAGAGGCTGACAAACTTATGTCCAGGTTTGAAAACACACTTTCAAATTCTCCAGTGCTATTTTTTTCCTGGATATAATGACATAATTAGCAGTTACAGTAGAGGAAGGAGCAATGAAGCAAACAGAAACACAAGTGCCTGTGAAAGAAAAGTGAAGGTCCAGCTCCTCTCTTTGAAGTTGCTGACATTTTTTCCTCTCAGTTTTACCCTGTGTTCCCACTTGATTCCATTTGGCCACACTGTGGGCACTGGTGTTACTCGTGTGCAATAACAGATGCAGTATGTTCGTGTTAACAGTTTGTGGCACAAAATATAAAGTTTTGGTTGGATGGGGGAGCTCTTGATGTTTTGCTGGTGCCCACACAGTCCTCACAGAGGCAGCATCTCTGAGCTACAGGTAACTCAGATTTCAGCTGCATAAACAGTTCAGCCAAACAGCCCTAAGTTACTGCACATGCATAAGAAAATCTCTGAAATTCATTAATGCAGTGAGTGCTCAGAGCAGTTGTTCAACTCCCTTTTATTCTTTACATACAAGATAAATAGAGACCAGTGACTGGCTCTTAGGGCACCAGAGCCAAGGGGCATCAAATGGAACTGGCAGGTTTGGAATAAACCAGAGAAATGTCTTCACAGAATTGTAGTTCATCTGTGGAACTCCTTGGCAAGAGTGGTCTGAGGGATTTTAAAGTGTTTAGATGAATTCACAGAAGAGAAATCACTTAAGGCCTGTTGAATGCAGAACATCTCTAGCTCTGGAAATCCCAGGGCTGCAATTCACTTGTGCCTGGGGGAGCACCCCTGGTTTTGGGTGCCTTCCCAAGGATCTTGGCTCCTGTCAGACGTGGGTATCTTGTGGGACCTGATGTGGAGGTCCTGAATGTGGTAAAACTCTCCCAGATAGTCCACAAACGATCTGATTCTTTGTCACCCTGCAGATTTTATATTTATGAAGGGCTTGTCTCTGCAAGGAAGAAATGCTGGATGTAAGATGTGTAAGTTATGAATTAGTAGTTTATTACGTGGAAACTTTGAAATAAAAATTACTTTAAAATTAAGCTAAAAAGGGATTTTTTTGGTGAGATTTGTGGTGCATAGGAAGCCATGCAAATAATTTGCTGTATAGACAAACGATACTAATAAAGTTTGTTCCAATTAATGATTGACATGTTTAATTTGTTAAGAGTTTTGATGTTTTGTTCCATCTTTTGGGTTTTTTTCCTGCATGTTTCTTCTGTCCTAGAAAGCAAAGTTCAGACTACGAGGAACACAGTCAGTGTAGCTTTAACTCTATTTGGTACAGGTTTGTACAACCTGAAAAACTGCTGTTACAGCCCCCTGATCTCAATGCAAGGTTTTGATTAACTTCAGCCAGGGTTGGATCAGGCTGGAGGGATTCATTTAAACTCATTTAATTTAATTTCTAATTTTTTTTACCCTCCCCCCATTTCAGTTTTCTACTTCCTTCCTCTTGCAGAGGTGGAGTTTCAGGACCAGACATTCCAGTTTGCCAGGGACGTGTTGGTGCTGGGGCCTGGAGCTGTGGGGGGCAGTCAGGCCACTCATTATGGTAATTGCTGCTCACTGGAGGTTATTCGGTCCAGGCTGGAGGAGTCAAGCTGGTCATGAAGGTTGAGCTCTGAAATCAAAGAGCTCTTGGCTGCTCCGAGGGGATTTTCTGCCTAATTTGGGACTGGCTGGTGAGCGGGTGCTCAGGGAAGGCTCAGCTTAGATTTCAGCCCAAGCTCAGCACCCCAGACCCACTGAGTGGTGCAGATCCAGTGGGATCCATGGATAGTGATCCTTCATGGCCATTAGCCAAGGAACTGGGAATTTTAATGACTCTGCCCTGATTTATTAAACACCTATTACTTCAGGGCTTTTCCCCCCTCCCCGCTTCCTGATGTCCTTAAGAAAATATTCCTTTAGTAGGATGAAGGAACACTTACTGACCCATTTATAAACCAGAGCCATTTACATGTCTCAATAAACTAACTTGTGGGCAGGGATTGCCAATTGGATTTGTGAGAAGCCAACACACTGAGCAGCAGTAATGCAGATTTTGATTTATAAAGTTCTCTAATCAATCAATAGAAGCCTGAGTGAGGCAATCAGATAATCTGAATAATTAAATGCCTTTTCAGGGGCAAATTAAAATTTCTTATCCATACCACATCCGTCTAAATTATATTTGGTGTCCAGGAATAAATGGGGTTGTTGTTTTGTTTCACTCCTCTATCTCAAGTGCTTTTGGCTTATTTTGAGACCATTTGGGGAAAAAAAAAAAAAAAATGGATAAATGACAGCTTCTGCTCTTTTATATTGGAAAATGTGCTCGCAGAAAGAAAATGCTTGTTTCCACAGTTTAAATATATTAGAGGTTTATATATTACATGTATTCTATGTTAGATATTTAAATATATTACTTTCTTTAGACATATTAGATCATTTTGCTTTTTCCCCTCCTCAGAGATGTTTCCACAACATAGAAAATGATATAGAAAATAGAAAATGATATAGAAAATATAGAATTTTTTATTATATAGTTTTTTCCTTTTTTTCTCATGTGCTTTCAAGCGTGGTATCCTGCTTCACCTCTGCATGAAGTGAATAAAAGTGGGAATTACTATATCTTCTCATACTGCTTTCCCCTTGCTTAAGGAATTACTATAGAGCAGATTTCCCCAAATGGGGGATATGAGCTTGAAGAATCAGAAGGAACAAGTATTTTCCTTTCATTTACTCCATCAGAGCATAGTAAAAGAAGCTGGGAGTCAGGTGGCACAGGGAACAGAGTTTCCTTAAGCCAAGTGGAAGTACAATAATTCCCAGGTCCTGCCCTGTTCCTCAAGGTGTGTTTGCGCAGTCGGGTCAAGTCCACCCAAGTCTGCAGCACACACGGGTGTGGCAAAGAGGTGCCACCTCATCCACCCCCGGCTTCCGTGGCCTCTCCTCTTGCTCTTTGCTCCCCGTGGCCAGGTGGAGATCCAGGAACTGCATCTGGCTGAAATAAAAATAAGTAAATGAATTTGAGGATACCAGGAAGGAGTGGGAATGCGCAGGCTGGGGCGGGGAGTGGGGGAAGAGTAGACCCCACTCTACAAGGAGACCAAAAGCTTGTCTTGAGCCAGTCTGCAGTTTGCACATGAAAAATGCTGCTCAGAACCACAGGCAGTTGTAAATGAATATCGTGTCCATCTCCTCCACCCTCCATTAGTCATCGCTTAACCAAGCCGTACGCATTCAGTCCTTTTCATCTTTCTTCTTGTCAAGCCCTTTGGCCTGTCCCCCTCACCTACTCATCCCACCAATCATTTTAATTAATCTCTGCATTTCTTTGAAACTAATAGTTTGTGGAATGGAGGAAAATGAGTAGGTTAGAGAGACAAAGATTGTGGATGATGGAGGTGGGGCAAAGTGAGGAGACTTTGCAAGACCTGTTGGGCGACCTCTGGGGCAGGACAGCAGTGCTGTAAACACAGAGGAAGGCTGCACAAGTGAGGGAGGAACCACTGAAAACAGCTTCCATTTTCCTAAGAATGCTGCCCGAGCAATTCAGACCCTGGATGTTCATGTGCAGCAACACATGAATGAAAGCTGTGATGTGATTGTCTCTAAAGTGGACAGGAGGATCTCTTCACCCAACTAGATTTCTCATTGTTGTGCCTCCCATTCCCAGCTGGCTTTACAGAGGATTTCAATGCTCACTGCAAGTGCTCAGAAATATGTTTCTGAGTATGACTACAAGTAATGAACTATATATTTTTTTTATTCAAACAACTGTATGTATTTTATAATTTTTTATCAAAATTCTGAAAAAAGAGAAGTTGACATTGTCTAAAGATGAGTCAAAAAGGAATGCTGGGGCCTTGCTTCCCATGCTGCTTTTTAGAATTCCAGAATGGTTTGGGCTGGAAGGGACCTGAAAGATCATCTAGTTCCAACCCCACTGCCACAGGCAGGGACACCTGCCACTAGAAGGATGTTTAGGATGTTACAAATCTCAGTGTCACACCATTAATGTCTCTGTGTTCATTATTCCTATACCACAGCATAGCTGGTGCTCCAGGAAATAGAGAATGGGCAGAGTTCCCGTCCTGTGGAGCCTACAGTCAGAAAAATCCTCTACACACCAAGAAGGCTGGCAGAGGAGCAGTTGATCCACAGTGGGAGCCCAGAGAGGGAAGGTGAGCGGGAGAGGAGGCACTGGAGGACGGGTGGCATATGGGAAGCAGACGGCTGTGCTTGGCATTGTGAGCTGGCAGCAGGAAAAAATTCCCCACACAAATAGAAACATATTGATGCTGAGTGCTGGGGAGGGAGATGAGCACCTTTGAAAAGGTATTTATTATGTTTGGGGAGAAAGATCCCACTGGAAGCCTGCATTTGTTCCCATATTAGTGAGCTGGGGGTTTGCTGTGGAGAACTGGAGCTGGCTTTGTGGCACTTGGATATTTCCATAAACACGCATTAAAGTTGGTAGTGTCAACAAAATGGATTTATTTATGGTTGTCGATTGTGACTGAAAGCCCCAGAATAACTGGATTTAACTATTCAGAGGTAAAATAGCTCAGTTTTGATGAGGGTCTCCGAATGCTTGGATTTTTAATTAATAAACAATCTGGCATCCTGTCAAAGTCGACACCTTGCTCTGTCTTAGCAGCTGTTGGCACAGTGGGCTCCTGGCAACCTGGGGTAAAGCCATGCTTGCAACAGGAGAAGGGGAGGAAGCGAGTCTGCGTGAGACCAAAACTGCCCAGTGCAAAGCACCACAGAGCTCAGGGATTTCCAGGGAATGGTCAAGCTTTCCTGCCCTGTGCCCTGGGCTCTGGATTAGACACGGGCAGCCAGTCCGTGTTACTAAACGTCAGCAGTGGCTGGTGGGTGACAGATGTAAGGACACCTGTCTGGATTTGGGCAATGTCCCTGACAGGAGGAGCCATAAAGAGGGAAAGCATTCAACAGTGAAAGTAGGTCCTGCAGGTTGCTCCCTCCCAGGGATTAGAGTGGTGGAGCCTGTGGGGAAGTTCACAGAGTGCCTGCTCACGTAATTCAAATGGAAACATTCACTCTGGATGACAGTCATTTGTGTTGGAGTCATGGTATGGGAGCAGTTGTGGTTGCCAAAGAGCCAAGGAAGGCAGTGCAGGGAGGAACGGGCATAGCCTGGGAAGGACAGTGCCTGGAAGCACAAACAGGGATCAAGTGTTCGGTTTTGGAGAAGGTGCTACGGAACTGCTTCTCTTCCTCAGTCCCAGCTGATTAATAAACAACAACCTGATCTCTGATCCCAGCTGAAGCATCACACAACAACAGTGTAGCTGCTCTCCCCTGGTCCAGGCAGCCCTGTCACCTCAAAGGGTGGGAATGTCCCAGCCTTGCCCACAGCAACCTCTTAGGACTTCTATAGAAGAACCAGGACAGTCAAACCCCTGAAAATTGCTGTTATTTCCTCTTTTCTTTGGTAAAAATTGTATGCAGATGCCAGCACATTATCTGTATGTTGCCTCATTTCAGAAAGAAGCAGAGAAGGAAAATTTAGCCCAGAATCCATATTGATCCCTACCTGAGATCCTGTTTTTTTCACCATGGGCTCAGGAGCGCTGTTCCCATGTGTGCTAGAGCAAGTCCATGAACAGCCAGCAGTGCCTTTGGCAGATGCATTGTTCAGCTCACAGGACTGTTTACAGCCTGTTGAGAACATATGAAACATATAAAAAGCCATAACATTTAAATATATTAAAACCAACTTCACAAGATCAAGGAAAATTTTCAGGATAAAAAGACAATACTAAAGCAATAGCCTAAGGGCTATGATGGCTGTGAATTGAGATTCAGTTTGGCTTAAATTTTACTTTTTTTTATGGAGCAACCAGAAAGCCATCCCAGAAGTGTCTGTGTGGTATTTAGAGTGCTGGGTGCTCTGTGCACACATTTCCAGAGGCTTCTGCTCGGTGAGGAGAGGGCTGTGGGCTGAAGTGAGTGCTGTGAGAGAGGTGAAGCACGTGTGGTGTAAGAGTTAATGGCACAACAGAGCCTTGCTCTATAGGAGCATGTTTTGTGCTGATGTTTTCCAGTTCCTGCGTTCCGTGCAGTCGGGGTAGGAAAAGGTGTGTGTGTGGCTGGCAGAGCTGCAAGCCCAGACACAGCACTTCTGGGTGTGGGTGCTTCCAGCCCAGTGCCAGGTGCTTCAAATAGGCATTTGTGTCAGAGATCTGAGGTCAGTGTGATGATAGCCCATTTCAGCCCTGGCTTATTACACAAATATTAATAAGAACAGTGGTGTATTTCACATTTATGTTATTGGGCAGCAGGGTATTTACGTACCCCTGTAGCAGTACTGCTAGGGAATATATTTCTCTTCAAGACAACCAAGAGAACTTAAAACTTTTGGCAAAACAGTCATTCACATTTTTAATGAAACCTTGTGAGTTTAATGAGAAGTAATTTTCTGTATATCAGTAGAGGAAAAACAGAACAGAATAAACTCAAATGGGGTGGAAGTGCACTCTTCCCTGCTTTTGCCTCCCTGCTGAATGACTCTTAATCACTTTTTACATCTTTGTAGCTTGATTTCCCTGCTTGTAAAAGGAACATAATGAGACTGAAGTCCTATAAAGCATGCAGTTCTGGGGGGAATAAATGCTGGACAAGAGGTATGAACTATTTTTATTTTTAAAATGCATTAAGGAAAAGGTACAGAGAAGGAATGAATTTTCATCTGGAAGAAGATCTAGGATTAACTTGTTGGCATAAAATATTTGTTACTGCCCCCATTTGCTTTTAGGATATTAATCATTGACATTTTTATTGGTTCATCAGCCTTGTAATGCATTTTGAATCTGACCCAGGACTGTGTGGAGCAAATACTGGCACTTAGATTTATGCCAGCTTCACTCTCTGGTCACTCTTTGACATTTTTGACCAAATATCTTCCAGTTGCTATGGGCCTGCTTTTTGTGTTTGTGGGGGTTGTTTTGTTTCCTTTACATTTAGAGTCTGTGCTTTGAGGGGCTCTGACAGTGATTTGGAGTTGTCCATGTCACAAATGCAGTGTAGGGGAAGTATCATACAGCAGGTTCCCAGGAGGGGCACTGCCACCAGCACCTCTCCAGATCATCCCACAGATCATTTCTTTAAAGAGTAAGCCTCTGTTCTGAATCCAAACCCTTGAGAAGAGGAGGACCATGTGAAACACAGGAGCTGCCCTGCTTTATACAGCCCTTGGGGAAGAGAGTGCGTGGCCAGGAGTGTGCATTGCTGTTCCTGGGGAGGCGAAGCTTATGGCCCCCTTGGACACCTCCTCCCAATAAATCTGCACCTAAGCCTTCCAGCCTGTTTTACACCTATGCTAAGGTTTGGAATGCTGTCCATACAGCAATCCTTTTTAAGGCAAACTCCGGAGCGCTCCTGAAGATGTAAATCAGCAGAGCCTGGAATGACGTCGGTGCCCCGTGTGCTCGGCCGGCCCTGCTGACACAAGACAGTCCTGCCTTTTCCGGCTCCCACGCTGTCCCCTCCCTGGCGCTGACACAGCCGAGAGGTGAAGGGTGTTGGGAAATACAGCCCGTTCAGATCTATCCCAGCGAAAAACCTGAATGGCTGCGGAGCGAGGAATTTGCTCCTTTTCAGGGAGTAACCGGCATCCCGGATTAAAATCTTGTCAGAACCACCCTGTGAGCGCCAGTCACGGCTCTCCCTGAAAGCCAGGAGTTTCCCAACAGCTCCTGGCTAAAGAGAATTGTGCTGCAGCTGGAAACTCGATCAAGAGAGTGACAAAACATTTCATTCATCCTCACTTGATGCTTGATACACCTTTACTGTGGCGGGTCGTGCTTCCTAAGCCTTGTCAACATCGCAGCGGAACAAAGGCTCGTCCCAAGGCTGGGCGTTGTGTAAATAAAGCCTGTGCCTCGCAGGGTGTCACGGAGTTAATGTGGAGCCTGGAGAGGGGAGGGCGTGGGAGCACATGCCAGTGTTAACGTTCTGCTTTCTGCTCAGGATTGCAACAGGATTGCAACAGCCCGGCCTATCTGAGCTGCTGCACGTCCCGACAGCCTGTCTGCTCTGAATTTGATAGGGGTGGTGATAGAACAACACACCTTTCTGGGAAATGGTCATGGACAGCAACACTTCGCTCTAAGGAAATTTCAAATAAATCGTAGCAGTTTTCCTCTCAGAGTGGTGGTGATGCTTTCCAGGTGGCCAAACAAAGGAAATCTGTGTGGCAGCATTCACTCAAGGGATAGTTTCGGGGTGAGGAGGGGGAATGTTGAAAATCCCATGGACTTCAATAGCTGTGCTTATGTCTTTGTGGTAGCTCTGAACTCCTTCACTTGCTTCTCACAGATCAGTAATCAGGGGACAATTGACAGGAATAACCCCCCCAGTAAAAATATACAGCTGTTTCTGAAACAAACAGCATTTGATTTGCAAAGCTGCGTGGTAAAGGACATGCTCAGGGTGTTTTTTCAGGCCTCATGGGAAGTTTTACAAAGAGCAAGCTACCTTTTAGCAAGTGCTTTTCTGTTAGTTTCGAAATTCTCTCTTGCTTTTCTCTAGAATTGTTTTTTCCCACTAAAGATGATAGAAACCATAAGAAAAATCTCAGCAGAGCTTACTGCTCCCCTACCCTCTTCTCTCCCTCCCTCCTCCCACAAACACTGGGAGCTCTCAAAAAATATTTTAGTATCCTGGAGATTAAAAACAGTGTCTTTAATTTGTATTTGTCTTGTAATGGCTCTGACTTTCACTGCCTTGTCCTCCCCTTTGTTGGGAGTACATGTGTGAGCACTCCCTCTAATGTTGTTTATATGCCCGCTGTCAGGTTCAATAAGCAGTTTCTTAGCAGGGCACCTTCCCACGTGAAGGAAATGTTTCCAGTTCTTGTCCCAGCTCCTGCTTCCTCCATGTGCAGTGTCCTGACAGAGAACAGGACAAATGGGTATCAGTGATATCAGTAATTCTTCGCTGATAGATGGAAATTAACTCTAAAACCTCATGAATCTACTGGCAGCTTAGTCCAGTTTACAGGACATTTTATAGGTGTTCCAGTTATGTGAGTTTTTATGCAATGCCTGTTTTAAATTTAGGCATTTTATTAATAGTGGATCAGGAAAATTTTAGAACTGTAGGACACCAATGCACCTCTTTGGTGAAATGGAAAAGAATGTGGTAACCAGTTTGAGGATTCTCTATGTAAATAGGCATATTGCTAAAGGGAGTCAAGATAAATGTAAATGTGAATAATTGCTCTGAAGACAAAGAAAAATTGGCAAGCAGCCACATGGGAATTAGAAATTTAACTAGTTTTATGCCAATAAATCATCCTGGCGTGGTCTCAGGGCTTGTCAAGTGAATGGTAAACCCACAGCCAACCTGTAGGACTGAGGATTTCCCCTTCAGAGCTGGGTATAGGTAAGTAAAATTTCCCAGAGCAGAAAAACACGTTGTAGAAGCCGCCGGATTTTCAGCTTTGAAGTAGAGGAGATACTTTCATTTTCAGTATCTCCATTAGAGCTTCTTTTTTGCAAGACCAGGAGTGTGAACCCTTGTGTCTGAGCCAAAATTCCAACCTAAGCAGAATGTACTCATCTAAATTTCCCTTTTGGTTTCATTTGGCCAAGGTATTCCTGGGTGTAGTGTTGCTGTGTACTGTTACTGCAGTTGCTGTATTGGGAGCTTGGGAAGGTGCCCGCCTGGAAGAGGTTACATAAAACCCAAACCATTATAAGCTCAGAGAAACCCCTGAGTGTGATGATTAAAAAGAGAAAACGATTAGGGAAAACACATCAAAGAGCCCCAGTGAGAGTCCTAAAAGGAAAAATACTGATTATATTTGTTTTGATTTTGTCTTACATGAGGTAAAAGGCGTGTGGTGTGTCCTGGGTCGCCACCCTGAGGGGTGTGTACTTAAAGACAACAGAAGCAGACTCCAAGGCTTCCATGGGGTTTATTTTGGTTGCAGGGCTGGGAAGATAAGATATAATTGTACCATATACATAGTGGTGAATTTCAATCTGAGAGGTTGCACTTCCCATACACCCCTGAACACCTTGCCTACCCTCTGCCTGCTAATCTGTGTCCAGCAGGAGAACTCTGAGCCTGCTGACCTTTCAAGAAACTGTCAACTGTGATTTTTAAAACAATCACAGAAATGTTTTTCTTTCTCCAAATGTGCAGTTCCTTTCTCTGGTAAAAGAAGTCAGAGGCATGAGATGGGTAACATTGATTGCTAAAGCTGGTGTGCCAGTTCAGGTTCAATAAATTGTGAGTCTTAGGGGCTAAAAATTCTTTAGAATTCAACTCTGAGTCTGGGAATAGGAGTAGACAATTATTGATGGTCCTGTTGTTCACACTCCACTGGATTCTGTTATTTAGAACAATGTTAGATTCACTTTTTAAAGTTTTTTTAGACTTGCTCTGCCCTGGGAACCAGGTTAGAAAAGGTTTGAACTAATAAAATATGCAAAATGTGGTTTTAGGGCTCTCCTTTAATGTGGAAAGAGGAAGAAAGGTTTTAGTCAGTTATAGCAAATCCAGTAAGGGAAGTGTTTACTTAACACTCTCACAGTTATTTATTTTAATATACCTTTTCAAAGCTTTTCAGTTGGGTTTAGTTCATGTGGACTCACATATTAAATAGTGGTTTTTACTGATACGTGTTTTTCAGTTGTTATTCTGACTTCAGTAGTTACAGTAATTTTCTTTCTGGATCCCAAAAAGCTAAAGGAAAATAACAGGACTTTAGGAATGGGGAAATACAAAATATAATCCGTATAGACTTTGAATTTAGATAGGAAGATAACATCTGAGTTTATTTTCCCATGAATATAGCTAGCATAAATGTATATTTATGAGGCAATAGTGCCTATTATTTTCCTATATCAACAAAAATAATTGTAAAAAATGCAAGGTGGAGGAACACACTGTGTTGGTGCCAGTTGTGTGATGCACAAACTTTGCTGGTTATTCATGTTTGTCTTTGGCCTTGTCAAAGCTTTCCTGAGTTGGGGTCCAAGCTGCTGCAGAAACTGTCTTGTCCCTCATGCTTTTGCATATAGAAAAAAGAGGCTGATTGGAACAAAACAAGGAACAACAAGAGATCCTTGTATTATCCTTATATCTTGGTTTGCTGACATGCTGGAAAATCCACCTGTTGTCCTGCTTCATTTGGGGCTCTGGAGAGCAGTGGGTGAATCAGCCAGACATGAGAGACAGGATGAAGGGTGTGGGGAGCAACACACCTGGCAGGACAAGAGAATTTGTCTGTGTCTGGGGTTTCCTGCCCTTGTACATTAGGGACATGGAATTTTGCTCAGTCCAGGAGTCTAAACTGTTTTCCCTTCTTAAAAGAACTATTAAAAATCACTCTGTATTACCACTGGACCTGGATTCATTTAGTTTTGATCTGATGCCATCAGAATTGTTTGCAAAGCTAATAGCAGTGTAATGGCAAAAGCAGCAGTGACAAATACCTTTGTTTTTTCCCCTTTCTCCTTCTTATATCAAAGCTAAAAACGTGGTCTTGATTTATATGCAGGATTACTGATGTTAAAGCTATATAATAATACATCTAAAGCCTAGCACAGTTTATAAATATACAAAGCATGTAACTTAATTGTTATTTGTGCTGAATCTTTTTTTCCCCTGCATACTCTGTCCTACCTTTGTTACTGAGGGCACTAATGCTGCACTAATGTAAGAGAAACAGCTGCATTTATCTTCATTTTATTCTCCCAAGTCACAGCAACGTGCTGGAACAAAAGCCACTGTCTAGAGCAAACCTTCTGAAAGTCTTTTAAGGGCATCCATCTGGGCAGACTCTGTGGTTGTGGGAGGGCTGATGCTGTAAATGTTCATCCCACTAATGGTCTCATTGATTTTTATTTACGCTCTTTGTAGGTTGGGCAGAGTCTCACTTTGAGTAAGAGTTGCAGAGAATGTGCTGAATTCTGGAACTGCAGGCGGCTCTTCAACTAAACCCAGGTTTCTCTGTCTGTTTTTAGGGTGGTTGATTAAAGTGGTGCCTCCCAAACAGACCGTCCTGTCTCCAGTGAAGCAGAGGAGAAGTGCAGTTGGTGAGCAGTGTTAAAAACCAGGTGCATAAGTTTGAAAATGTTGATCCAAATCACATTATTATAAGTACTAGGGAAATGTCATGACTTACTGAGATTAAACAAAGACCTGCTTAGAATCTTGTGACTTCAGCTCATAAATGGATTTCATCACTCATTACAGCTGCATAAACAAATGCATGTGGTACATATGCATGTTTTGTTTTGGGAAGCTGTTGTTTTTAAAATCCCCTCCGAGTTTTTTTTTTTTTTTAATTGCTCCTAACGAGCCAACGCTCCCTGGTGCTGGAGCGATGCCTCCTGTACCTGAGCAGCACAGCACACTCATTGCTTTTAAAAGGGAACACTTTCCCTGCTTTTGTCCCTTCCTGGCAGCTGAACTGCTTTGGCAAGCAAGTTCTTTTAAAGGAGGAATTTACAATATGAAACCTGGTGTTAAAACTTTTATTCCTTTTATGAAAGTAGCCTTGCCCTGGTGCTCCTATGGAGCTGTGGAAATATAATCCCTGCCCAGGCAACAATTGGAGAGAGTCCTACACACGTCTGAGCTCAGACTGAATAAGTTTGTCACATACCTGGATATTTTTCAGTTGTTTAATTTAATTTGTTGTGTGGTCTGTGGCCTTCTTTCTCCTGATGGGCCTCTCATAAGGAATCCTAGAAGTGGATGCCCTGTGATTACCCAGGGGATTTAGACCTTCCCCCATGTTTTCTTGCCAATATGTTCCGAGTGGGATGTGGCAAGATTAATCCAAGTTTTGGTCTTCCTGCTGTGATTGTTACCTGAAGGCGCTAATGGTGGCAGGAGTTTGTGATGTAGAGCAGACACTTGTCTGTGGATTTAAAAAGTCATACAGCATTTTGCAGCGTCTCCAGGCAAGCAGTTATCAAAGTTTAACCTCAAGAAACCAAGATGGCAAAATATCTGGCTAATTTTTTGAATTTCAATGTGCCATTTCATATTCAAGACTGGAAAGATGGATTATTCCTGGATGAGTAGTGTCTCATTTTAATGTTACACTGCAAATTGTTTTTTTAACCATATCTAAAGGGAAATCGCTTCCCCCCTCCAAAAAAAAGAGTCCAAGGACACTCAATTTTTGTGACCATTTGCTGAGAAAGATTTGAAAATCAAATTTAAAAATGGATATTGCTGGGAAGAAATGGTACTTTTTTTCCTATTTTAGTTACAGCCTCCTCTTTTACCTCTAAAAAATAGAATCAGGAAAGAAAAAAGTGCAACACTGTGGGACAGTTCATGTCCAGGGGTGCTTACACATATATCCTATATAGATGAATTTGGCCTGAAGTGCTTTAGTTTATTTTGCTCCCTAGAAAAATAAAACAGGTAATAAAAAGAAATTTCACTTAAACTGAATGAAGCTGAAATATTTTCACTTTTCTGTCAAGCAGCCTTAATTTTCAGGCAGCTGAGGAGGAGTCTTAGCCATGCATGGTTCCTAAAGCTTGCTTGACCAAATTGCTGAGTGTCTGAGGCTTGGAGTGTCCTGCTCCTTCTGTTAAAGCCTGTGGAGAATCCAGTTGCTCCTCACCTCTGGAAACCTGCCCTCTTACGTAGGCAGCTAAAAAACTGCCTGACATTAGAGCCTTGTGCTCCAAAATGTTGCCGTGAACGCCTTAAAATGTCACATTAATATCGAGTACAGTTCACCCCCAAACCATCTGCCTTTGCAGAGCTGAAAATGATGTTTCAATTAATTAATTAAGCTGTTCTGTTCCCTAATAAGGCCTATTTGAAGCGCTCGGAGGCTGCAGGCAGCGGGGCTGTAGGTCTGCATTGAGCAGCTGTGGCGTGGCCAAGGGTCTCCCCGGGCAGTGGGGGATCCCGGGAAGCCCCGCCTCGCCTCACCTGGATGTGCCGGCTGGGAAAATACCTGGCTGTGTCCTTATAAGGCCGGCGAGCTGCTGCCGCAGCGCTGTTCCTGCCCCAGCGCTTCCCGGCTCCGCTCAGCCACAGTCCTAAAAAGGCAGTTCCTCGCTCCCGCTTCCCACAGCTGAGCTCCCCGGGGAGCACAGCCCGGCCCTCCCGAGCCAGGCATTGCACTCACAGGGAGAGCAGGCCGGATGGATTCTGCTTCTCCAGGAAGATGTTGTGTTTACAGGCACTGCTGGGGTTCTCCTTCCTCTTGTTCAGTGAATAATGAAAAGTACAGTGCAGTGCGGCGTCCGAGCCGCTCCGCTGGAACATTTCAGTAACGGGATAGATCCCTGCAGGATCCCGCGTGGGGAAGGAGACACTTGGTGTGAAGCAGTTCAGAGCTGTGGTCTTGAAAGCATATTAGGTTATGGTTTTATAATAGAAAGTCCTCAGCAGCAACATGAGCTCAAAGCGATTCACGTCCTTTTCCTTCCCTCCCCTGGCTGCCATTCCTGCTCCTTGCCTGAGCTCGCTCAGTTCTTGTGGGGCCGCGCCGAGTTCTGGGGTTCGTTTGTGCTCAAAGCCAGAAAAGGGATTTCTGCTCAGATTCACAGTGTGGCTTCACAAAACGTTGTGCTCATGTAACAGAGTGAGTGCTGGGTGGGAAAGAGGGGGGAAAATCTTGGTTATTAATACCCTGTGCTCTTCCTAATGTGAAACCAAAGCTGCTGTACTCTCCTCCTGAATAAAAACTCTTCAAATGCTGAATATTTTATTAGATATTTTTACAACTCTAATTGAAAATTTCTGAAGGATCTGATTATTGGCTTATTTATTTCACATGCCAAGTTACAAGCTTAGTTACAGTCTGATAGATTTTAAGGACAAGTTCTTTACTGGAGCCAGATTTTGGAAAGGCTTGAATATGCTAATTCAAAAGAGGGTTTACACGAGATTTTTTCCTTTTTATTAAATCAACAAATCATCCTGGCTCAATTTGAAAAAATAAAGAGGAGTGGTTTTTGAATTTAAGATCTGTGAAATTCTGGCACTGAGGGGTCACACGCTCATTTCAGACAGGGGCTTAAAATAATTCTTTTTCCAGGGGGCTGTTTGGGAACAGTCCCTGGATGGTGTGTTGTGTGGAGCATGTGGGACGTTGGGGTTCAGCTCTCAGACCTGGACACGCTGTACTCAGCACAGCCCTTTGTCTCCTCAGAGCCAGACGCTTCCTTCGTTTATCAGGCTGCTCCTGGCAATCCTGCTCAACCTTTGGACTTTATGGCCTCTCTCAGGATGTAGCACTGGTTCCCTAATATCTCTTCTCTTGTCTTTTGCCAAGTTTCCAGCAGGCAGTGAGGCCGTGACAAGCAGGGTCACAGGTGCTGAAGGAACTCAGCAGCACAGACAATTGTTATTATAAAATTGGATTCTGCAGTTACAAGGATGAAATGCTGCTGCTCTTTATGAATCTGGCATGTCATCCTCATCTTTTTTTCTGAGTTTCTAAGGTGTTTTCTAGCTCCTTTTGTTCCAGTGCTAGGTGTGTGCTGTGGATTTAGTAGGTGGGGTTAACAGTACTGATGGTAGAGATTAAAAAAGAAAAAAACAGGAGATTGCCATGCATTCATTTAATGCACGTTGTTAGCTGAGATCTGCTTTGTATTTTCTAGTGTTGTTTTTGTACTGCTGGTTCCTCAAATGTCTGTCATGTAAAATGGTAAAACAAGTTATTCCCATGTTGGAATGGTAGTAAAGGAGGTATTTAGGAAGAAACAGATCAGGCAATAAGGAAGAGGGTGATTAGAGAGAATCGCTGATCGGGCAATAAGGAAGAGGGTGATAGACACTCTGGTACCACGAGGCAGGAGATGACACACGCCTATGGAATCTGATAATTTAGGAGAAGCATTTACAACTATAGATTTTGGACACTAAATATAGCAGAGAATTGTTTAACAAAACCCTGACTGGAAGAGGGGTGCTCCTGCCTCTGCCAGGTAGGGGGTAAAGGTTATGGTAAAGGAATATGGGGAATACCACTTGCTAAAAAGTTCTTCCCCTTGGTGTTTCTGGTTGGCTGTTGGTTGTGGTCCCAACATACTCCATGTGTTGTCATGGTTTGTGACCCCAGAGCTTTGGAAGATGTGTGTTTTTGGAAAGACACACATGTGAAATGACAGTGGGACAGCAGTTATTCTGAATTAAGAAAGTGCCCACATGTAGTTTTTAAAGTGAAAATCAACATTGTTTGTCTTCCATACTCTGTGATTAAAGCAGATTAAACTGTCAAGGTCTGGGCTGGTTCTCCCCTTGACTCTGCTCTTGTGAGACCCCACCTGAAGTATCACATCCAGCTTTGGGGTCTCCACCATAAGGAGGACCTGTTGAAGTGAGTCCAGAGGAGGCCAAGAAGATACTCCAAGGGCTGGAACTCCTCTGCTCTGGAGACAGGCAGGGAAAGCTGGAGGTGTTCAGCTTGGAGATGAGAAGGCTCCAGGGAGACCTTACAGCCCCTTTCAGTGCCTAAAGGGGCTCCAGGAGAGCTGGAGAGGGACTTTGAACAAAGGCCTGGACAAGGGGGAATGGTGTTAAAGAGGGTTTTTAAATTTCCTAAAGAATTTCTCTGGCACAGGTTGCCCAGAGAAGCTGTGGCTGCCCCACCCCTGGCAGTGTCCAAGGCCAGGTTGGAGAGGGCTTGGAGCAACCTGGGATAGTGGAAGGTGTCCTTGCCATGGCAGGGGGTGGAGTGAGATTATTTTAAGGGTCCCTTCCAACCCAAACCATTCTGTGATTCCATGACAAGTTCTCTATATACACAAAGCACTTGAATGCACCCAAACCACTGTCAGTCTGAGTTAAGAGCCCCCATCTCATGCTCACTAATGCCTTTCTCAACCTGTAATTGTGTTGCTTTTCTTAGTCCAAAATGCAGAGCTCTGCTTGGGGCTCTCACTAGTCCTTGGTTTTGTATAAATTTGTAGCAACTTTATTGATGTTGGTATTTTTTTATAGACTATTCCAACTGCAATCTTTGAATCCAGTAATGGTGAAATCAAGGACACAACCTCCTTTCAGGATGTGAATTAAATTGTAGAATTCAGAAAATATAAACTTAGCGGCCTCAGAATGTTTCACCACTTTA